GCATAAAAATACAATTAAATTGTATTAAACAATAAACATTTTTATTACATTCATTTAATATTAATAATATTTATTATTATGTGTGACCTCCTCAGGATTGGTCCCAAATTATGACAGAAATCATTTTAGCAAAGCTGTACATTAATCCCAATATGTTATTTAAAACAATAAGCTATTTCCAGAGTATTTTGTACCATTTAGGATCAAAATGAGCTGGAGCTTTGATGAGCCACGATTCCTTCTCTTCATCTTCATCCCATAAGGCGCTTACAGAGGAACCATACGACATGCGCACAAAGTCACCCGGACATTGGTACTTTGAAACTGGGGGTAGACAATAAGGTTAGATACTTTCTAGGCACTGGACATATTTGAGTTTACAGTATGTAACGTTAGTGAAGAGACTGAACAGTGTTAGTTAGTTAGTTAGCACCCACCTCTCTTCTTTGCTGCCGAAGTCCGTTCACAAGCTTCATCTTCACTGTCCGACATATCGGCGCTCTTTTACTATAACAGTCTGTAATAAATGTATTCCGATGTCAGTGTCACCAATATTTCACTCCGAATACAAATGCCCATGTAAACATGTGAATAACATGTGGATGAAAGGGAATCAATTTTGATCCGGAAGCACTTCTAGCAGACGTTTACATATATACGACAGCAGAGGGCGCACTTATAAAGCTTTTCAATACTGCAATACTGTCAATGTACAGACGCCAGGTTTGTGAAGAAAATTAAACTAATTTAGTTAAACTTCGCAAGAAAAAATAGCGAAATAACGGAAAATATCCATCTTGTAAAAATACAGTACATTTTCCATAATTACAATACAGATTGTTCCTGTAATTTTAATGTTAAAAAGATCATAATGCTGTTTAATCACACTTATTACTTAACATTGAAATAGGCCTATTACCATTCTTACATTTTTGTGCACAATTTTTACAGAATGGGCATTAAATATCGTATCACAATGTGTCGTCAATATAGCAGGATGCATACTGAGTAATTTCACATTTCCAAAACCAGTAGGCTATTATTTACTGTAATTTTCATACCATAAACATCACATAGATTAAATGTACAATGAAAGTCCATCTCCTGGTTTAATTATACTCTTCAGGTTCAACTTGGAAACACATGGACATGTAAAGCAAATAACAGAATTTAAAAGCTCACCACACAGACATCCTATGGCTTTGACGATTAAGGTATCTGGTCACATCGCTGAATACACATCACACTGAACATCTAAGGCCTTTGGATTCAAATTCCTATTGAATCCAAAAAAAAAAAATAATAAAATAAAATTGTTCAAAGTCAGATGCACAAACAATTGATCTGATTTGACCTTACTTTTTAGGTGACCACATTTAAAGACAACTTAACCTCTCTTTTTGAAATGTGAGATTTCATATGACATAATATCTATCAAATCAATTAACTTTCTTGACAGTTCACAAAAGGTTCACATGTAAAGGATCCCTGTAGTGGCTCACACAGTGACACAGACGATGACTGCCAGCAAACATGACATTTAAAAACACTGTAACTTCTAAATTGAGACTTGCAACCTGCTAAATAATGTGCATAACGTGCCTCATTTCTGTGTAGCCCTTATACATGATTGTTTCGAGTTTTTCACAGAAACACCACAACGAACATAATATAATGTAATATAATATAATATATAAATGTAATCTTAAACATCTTTAAATTATACAATCCAAAGCAATATTAGTATTGAAAATACGAAGAGTGTAAAGACCATCGACTCTACCGTGCGACTCCACCGGGCAGGACACCAGCAAAGAACATAAGTATCGCTCTTTATCTCTCCTCTTTCCACTTCTGTTTCGGTTTTTTATAATCTAGTTCTTACTATGTGTCAGTAAGTTGTTGTTATTTTAGCATGTGTGTTTGCCTCAGTGTTATTTTTTTTAGGATTACTGATGAACTAATGTACTTTGATTTGTATTAGTTATCTATTTTAGTTTTAGTTACAGTTGTAGTAATGTTGTCATTTTTTTATTATGTCTATATAGGCTTTTTATTAAGTTTTACTTTTATTTATTTTGAGTTATTTCAGTACTTCAACATACAAAATGGAAATGAAATCATATATATATATATATATATTTAATGTATTTATATATATGTACATGTATATGTATATGTGTGTGGCTGTACATACACATATGTAGATGTTTTTTGGTGTTTGGCTTAGTGTTATGTTAGAATCATTATTATACTCATACCTTGAGATATTTGATACTGATCACATGGTAGTGAGGGCTTCTTCCGCGACCGTGTCTTTTTCCATCATTGATGGATTTTCAATCATATGTGAGTGTCAGGCAGAACTTGTAAATAGTTAATTGTTGATTATTAATTTCCTTAATATTTCCCTACATCATAGAAGCATATATTACATTTATGTTATGAATATTTACATTTTTGTTGTTTATTAATCACATTGATTAATAAAACACATATTTGAGATAAACAATAAACATACACATTGATTAAAATAAAAATATTATATTAGTTAGCACCCAATATTTCTATATTATATTATAATAACAATAAAAATTTGAGGCTGCATTTAGGGCTGCATTTATTTGATGCAGTAAAAATATCTAATATGCTGATTTGGTGCTCAAAAAACGTTTCTTATTATTAACCAAGTTGAAAGCAGCTGCTAGAAAAGTTCCATAAAACAAAGTTCAAAAGAACAGATTTTTTAAATAACATTATATTTATTGTCACTTTGCGTCAACTTAATGCATCTTTGCTGTATAAAAGTAAAATAAATAAATACAAATCTTACTGACTGGTGTATATTTAAATATTTAATTTAATATATATATATATATCATATTTATTATAATAAAAAAACCCCAACAAAACATTAAATTGTCATTTTTAACACTAACGACAGAAAAACAGATTCCTAGTGCAGAGAGATTTCCTGTGTACAACATGCAGGAATTAGCCAATTTAGCATACATAAATATTTTGGAGATAAAGTCTCAGAAGTCCCCCCTGAGCATTTTACTTGCAGCTAGTGTTCCGCTCTATTAATAATCTGACACACTTCACAAGCAGCTTGATTCTTCTCTACAGTGGCTGGTTGATAGCACATCTTCACGTAAATGGCCATGTTGACACATATGTGATTTTTCTTTAATGCTGTATAGTTTTTTCCACCAAACCACATGGCCACATGTGTAAACTCATGTAGTTCAGGTTGTAAAACTTAGCGCCATTGCACTTAATCGCACATGATGTAATAAAACGTTGCCTTTTTTATATCACTTTATCACTTCCTTTCACAACATCTGTTGCCAAATATAGAATTTATCAGAAGTATCTGAAGAAAAGAGCTGAGAACTACACAACAGAAGAACGACCGACATCATATATTTTATTTTGGCATAACAGCGAATCCATTACATTGCACATTCTCACTGCTTTCTCAATGTCAGGACTTACAGTTTGGTAGACTGAAAGAGGCCAACTGGAGAACTAATGAAGAAAAAAATTTAAACAATAGCAAAGCCTATTGTTTGGAAAACAGTTTCCATTTTGTGTATCTGTGGGCCACCGAACAGAAAGTATGTCAAACAAGAGACGGCTGAGAGAAACACGCTTCTCTTGTTAAAGACTTTATACAATGTATTAAGATGCATATTAAGACACGACACCTGAAACAGCTCAGACAGTATTTGTGTTGACTGTGACAAGAGTGGGGAAATAAATAACTGGGCTTGCTTAAAACGAGCAATAATGTCAAAATAGGGATAGTAGATTCCAGCAAAATCTAAAAGAACCGACACAAATTGCAGGCATGTACATATAAAACATTCAAAAATAACCCTGGACCACAAAACCAGTCATAAGTAGCACAGGTATATTTGTAGCAATAGCCAAAAATACATTGTATGAGTCAAAATTATAGATTTTTCTTTTATGCCAAAAATCATTAGGATATTAAGTAATGATCCTGTTCCATGAAGATATTTTGTAAATTTCTTACCATGCATTGCTAAGGACTTCATTTGGACAACTTTAAAGGCGATTTTCTCAATATTTTGATTTTTTTGGGACCATCAGATTCCAGATTTTCAAATAGTTGTATCTCAGCCAAATATCGTCCTATCCTAACAAACCATACATCAATGGAAAGCTTATTATTATTTATTCAGCTTTCAGATGATGTATAAATCTCAATTTCCATGTCATGGTCACAAAAGAAGAAGTGATTTTTGACATCAGCATTTCGCTGACAGTATTGATGAATTCTCATCTCCAAGTTAAAGATTTTATCGTAGACAGTGTTTCTGTGTAAAACTTGAGGTACACATAGGTGTTGGTATAGTTATCATCAAAAAGTGCACCTTTATATACAGCGGCCCCAAAAAATAATTACACTAAAAAGGGATTGGTCACTCAAAATTTAAAATTCTGTCATTATTTATTCACTATTATGCTGTCCCAAACCTGTGTGTGCGTTTTTTTTTCTTTAGTGGAACACCAAAGAAGATAGCATAGGGAAGTTTAAATTGTTTTTGTTCCTGAAATTTTGTTTTTGTAATTCAATGGGGTCCAAAAGAAACCCTGTTGGATCTCATGAACTTTCATTTATTGGACAAAAACAAAACAAAACACTGAGACATTATAGAAAATATCTTCTTTCGAGTTCTACTAAGAAAGTCATACAAGTTTGGAACGTGATGGTGAGTAAATGATGACAGAACTTTCATTTTTACGTGAACTATACCTTTAAGCCGCACTTAAACGCTGAATGTTAATGCATTATATAACAAAATCAAATCAAGTGGCATTGTTTTAGATATACAGAAAGATAATACAGATAACACAAGCACAGTTTTCAAGCAAAAAAGAAAAAGAAAAACAAGTTTGTGGTGTTTTAAATTGTAAAACAATAAATATTGTTCAAAATTAAGATAATTTAAATAAGACTCAGTCCGTTGTTTCACAGTCAAAACAGAAAAACAAACTAACTGGAGACAGCAACAACAAAAGATGCTTTTGTTGACCGGCACTTGTGTGAGGGGGTTAAGAGATACACGCAACTCTAGTTTAAACAAGTACAAAGACAATTTTATCAGCCATAACTTCTGGAGAGAAATAGCGTAGACACTGGAAAAGGACAAAACTTCATAGTGCGCATGTGTTGAGGGCCAGTGTTTGAGCATGCTATCAAACACAAGTAGCTAGGCATTCGCGTCAAAACTTAAGTATACTTTGGGCTTTAAAAGTCACTGACAAAATGGCTCACAAAAACTGAAATTATTTTTAATAAAAGATCCAGCAGCTTTTGCGGATGCCACTTGGTTTAATATTTTGCTAATTTCAATAAAAATTCAGTTTTAAGTGCGCACACAAGTGTCCACACACTTTAGGTGACCGCTGTAGGTTACACCATTTAACTTCACTTTTTAACACTGAGAATGGTCATTTGAAGGCACTCATCTTTGAGCACTTCAATGTCAGTTTTATAGGCATTTGTTTTGACCTCACTGTAGAAATCGGGCTTCTTCATAGCCAGGGGCGTCTCCACGGTGATGGATGCCCCCATGAGCGCCTCTGGGCTTTGGCCCCGCTGGAAGAGACCGAAGAGAGTGGCCAGGCCCCGGCCCACATCATGACGGGCCCCTTCATTGACAAAGCAATAGAGGATGGGGTCTGCCACGCAGTTGAGGCTAGTGAGCGCTAGAGTCACATGATAAGCACCAAACAAGTTCTCCTCGCCACCACAATCGCAGGGGTTGCTGAGGAAAAGCACGCTGCGCCACAGCAGGAGGACGTGGTAGGGAGCAAAGCAGAGGAGGACGATGAGGATCAAACTGAGGGCCAGCCTCTTGATTTTGGCTTTCTCTTGGTGCTCGGTCGAGACGTTACTGCGCACGGCTCTCAGGATGCCTCTGTAAGCAGCTAACATCACACCCCAAGGCACCAAGAAGCCGAGGAAAGTGCGGTAAAGGTTCATCCCGGCCACCCAATCCTGCATGGGATACTTCTCGAAGCAGAAGGTGTGGTTAAAGCGGTCCTTGAAAAGCTCATCGTGGAAGAGAGGTGCAGAGTTGGCCACTATTTCAGTTACCCACACAACGGCACAGACCAGCAAGGCTGTTTTGACCCTGCGGACTTTAGCGAATTTCAGGGGATGAGCCACTGCCAAGTAACGATCCACAGATATGCAGCAGAGGAAGGCGATGCTGACGTAGATGTTGGTGTAGAAGATGAAACCAAACATCTTGCAGGACACTTGACCGTGGATCCAGTTGTCATGGTGGAGGAAATAATCAATCCAAAGCGGCAAAGTGGCTATATACAAGAGGTCAGCCACCGAGAGGTTCATCAAGTAGACCCCCAACTCATTCTTCTGTCTGACCTGCATGTACGCGGCCCACAGGGCCATGCAGTTAGTGGGGAAGCCAAGGACGATGACGAAAATATACAGCGCCGGCTGGAAGAACTGGTCTATGTTCGAGTCAACATTGCACGAGGTTGAGATGTTACACATGGTCTCTTCGCTTCCTCAGAGACTTATATAATCATCTAAATTGGCTGAGGCTTCTATGATCTCAACTCAAGCCATGTTTAAAAATAAGACTAGAAAGTATTGTATCGTATCGTGACTGTAACACTGTAGCCCACTACGGTCTAGCATGGTGGGCCTGACGTGTCACATGTCTCTGCCACATTTCATGGCTAGTGTTTTAACCTCTCGGAGAGCTCAGAGGTCAAAGATGTGTCCACAAGAGAACATGCCATTAATCCTCATTAAACGTTCACCTTGGAGTGGTTTCAGGTGGGGTCAAGGTTTTTTTAGCAGTATGAAACAGTCACTTCCATCTCTGAAGGGCGCAAAATGTCTAATCTTCTTTCGTCTGTCCAAAAACATCCATCTGCAAAATAGAAAAAAATTTTTTTTAGAGGTTTGGGAGTCATATGACTCATTATTTATGATCGCTACAATGTTTGTGATTTTTGTTATTGTTGAGAAATGTCCTTTCCTGAGCAGTGCTGGGTATCTGTTTGCACTGTGATACAATGAGTGTATGTTTTCCTATTCCCACCCCTAACCTTGGTCATCCTCGCATTATCATCTGTTTGTTTGGAGTTCAACTGAATTAACATTCATTACAAAGCTCCATCCTGTTCTTCAAGGTTTGTATCTGCTGGTACAGAATCTCTAGGAGGAGTTTTTTTTCTGAACAGGTGTTTGTGCAGATCTTGGTATGAAGGAGGTTAGATCAAGCAGATTATATACCTTCTAGAATGAGGAAATATGATATAAAATAAACAGAGCAGAACATTATGGCTTGACAGGGGACCTACATGCTCCTTGCACACGCAAGCCACTTTTATAAAAACCTTTCAGATTCATACAGTATTCCCTAAAAAAGAGGTTTGACTAACACACACACACACACACACACACACACACACACACATATATATATAAAATTAATTTAATTTATATTTATTTAATAATCGAGCAATTTACAACTTCTCATTTAAACTGCATAATTGTATGTTTCTTTTTTTTAATTATTAAAAATCATTTTTTTATTAAACAAAACAATAATACAAATTATTTTAATTTTCACTTCCATCATTTGTCACATGTGCAGTTCCTGTGCAATTATCAAGGATAACAAGTAGCCTTTTTGTAAATGGTGTTGTTATTTAACCGTAGTGATGTGGCACAGCCACAGTGCCTGGAGTGAGTGACACCAGGCTTGCTGTTTGCTTCAGATAGATTCATAGAGAAACTGTGACTGTGCAGAAGAGATAAATGAGAGATGCTAGTGTGGAAACTAACTGGGTGGCAGTACATGTGCAATACGGTAAAGAATCATAATATTTTACAAATGCTTCTTGTGTAATTAGAATTTTTTTCCTAAAGTAAATGTAAAAGTCAGTGTCGTTTAAACTTCAGGCTCAAAGGAAATAGCTGAACAATGTGGAGAAATGACTCAATGTGATTCAGACTCGGGGGTGGGGGGTGACAACATCCCAAAACCATAAACCATATCAGTTCATTCTCTGAACTTAAATAAGTTTGAAACTTATACCACTGGGACTTTTTACATTTCAGAATAACTAAGACTTCAACATATTCCTTAGAAATGATACATATATATATATATAAAATTAATTTAATTTATTTAATTTATACTTATTTAATAATCGAGCAATTTACAACTTCTCATTTAAACTGCATAATTGTATGTCTCTTTTTTTTAATTATTAAAAATCATTTTTTTATTAAACAAAACAATAATACAAATTATTTTAATTTTCACTTCCATCATTTGTCACATGTGCAGTTCCTGTGCAATTATCAAGGATAACAAGTAGCCTTTTTGTAAATGGTGTTGTTATTTAACCGTAGTGATGTGGCACAGCCACAGTGCCTGGAGTGAGTGACACCAGGCTTGCTGTTTGCTTCAGATAGATTCATAGAGAAACTGTGACTGTGCAGAAGAGATAAATGAGAGATGCTAGTGTGGAAACTAACTGGGTGGCAGTACATGTGCAATACGGTAAAGAATCATAATATTTTACAAATGCTTCTTGTGTAATTAGAATTTTTTTCCTAAAGTAAATGTAAAAGTCAGTGTCGTTTAAACTTCAGGCTCAAAGGAAATAGCTGAACAATGTGGAGAAATGACTCAATGTGATTCAGACTCGGGGGTGGGGGGTGACAACATCCCAAAACCATAAACCATATCAGTTCATTCTCTGAACTTAAATAAGTTTGAAACTTATACCACTGGGACTTTTTACATTTCAGAATAACTAAGACTTCAACATATTCCTTAGAAATGATACATTCAAATGATAGCTGCCTGGGGGTATTACAAATACTAGTGTACTGATTTGTTTTAAAGGGACTTTGTATATAGAGTCATACTGCTGTCATTATAAGATTACAACATATTTGTCAGTGTTGCAAAGCCAAACTCAAAATGGACTACTGTTATACAAAAGATAAAAGACACAACTAAAATTAAAACCAATTTTGCACTGATTGAGGAAATAAATACAACTTTACTCTAAACCCAATGCTAAATATGACCTGGACTCTATTTTGATCACTATAAAAGGTCTGAAATTGAACCAAACAGTTCAGTTAGTGGAATAACAGAGAACTTCCCTAGTGTGTCACCAGTCTTAAGATATTGCTTGTGAACTTGATGCTTTTCAATCAGTAGGAAATATGAGATAGCAGCAGAAGTCCGCTGCCCTGACTGGGGCCAGTAACGGTGACCGATATGCCAACAGATGCCTAAAAAACACTGGCCTAATCCAATCTGTCATTCTGCTCCAATATTAATATCTCATAGTGGCAGATAACAATGTATCCTTTAATAGAGAAAAGCACAAAGCACCACAGGGAACAAAAGACTTAAAGATGATGGAACGTAAACCCCTGGAAAGTTGTCAACCCGACTTCACTTTCATCCGGGTTGGGCGATAAGTGTGCGGCGACATAACTGGCAGTGATGTAAAAAGATATCTCAGATTAAAATATGCACTCTATTTTGATCACTATAAAAGGTCTGAAATTGAACCAAACAGTTCAGTTAGTGGAATAACAGAGAACTTCCCTAGTGTGTCACCAGTCTTAAGATATTGCTTGTGAACTTGATGCTTTTCAATCAGTAGGAAATATGAGATAACAGCAGAAGTCCGCTGCCCTGACTGGGGCCAGTAACGGTGACCGATATGCCAACAGATGCCTAAAAAACACTGGCCTAATCCAATCTGTCATTCTGCTCCAATATTAATATCTCATAGTGGCAGATAACAATGTATCCTTTAATAGAGAAAAGCACAAAGCACCACAGGGAACGAAATACTTAAAGATGATGGAACGTAAACCCCTGGAAAGTTGTCAACCCGACTTCACTTTCATCCGGGTTGGGCGATAAGTGTGCGGGGACATAACTGGCAGTGATGTAAAAAGATATCTCAGATTAAAATATGCAGTTTGTGTGCATTTACAACTTTTGATCATATCAAAGTTTGCATTACACAAAAGAAGAAGATCTTTTAATGCAGTGCAAATAAATATAGCTGGCCTTTGTTCATGATCACTGTGGTAACATAAAGCACAGAATAAAGACCTGTTGCTCTCATTTTCCCCTCTATAGACAGGTGGAAATAATGAACAAAGCAGTCGGATGTCGAACCCTATCTCCCATAACCCTGGAAACGAGGCTATGTATAATCAGGGACACCTGCGTTGCAGTAGTGGTCAGTCCATCACGCTTGTGATTGGCACTCTGGTCCCTAATGAGACTAGAAATAGCGTTGTGTCATGAAGTCATCAAAAACACATATCGCAGAAGAGGACTGCTCAACAGAACTGGAACGAATGACTGAAAAAACTTGCATAAAAGATATAACAGTCTAGTTACAGCTGCAAAAATAACTGATTATCAAGATTGCAATTACAGCTGCCACAATTAAGTTTCCAGAAAAAAAGTGTCGATTACAGCCAGGGCAGGACTTAGGGGGTGGGGGCCCCTGGGCTTGAGGTTATGTTTGGGCCCTATACGGTATACTCTACCAATGCCCTCAAATAGAACATCATTATGGAGTAACACAAAATACACAAACATATGCTTTGAGGTTCATAAATAGTACAATTAATATGCAACTTGTCTAGGCTATAGTCAAAGTTTAAATGTAATATTAAATATTCATATAATGTAATAAACAGGATGTGTTCTCTCAGTTAAGAGATCAAAACCCTGAAATAACTTTGAGCAAAAAAAAAAAAGCTAGAGATGTTGGCTTATTAGTATTATAAAAGTTATTGTCATATCTGTGTCCTCTTATGTCAGGTTCTTATTTAATCAATAAATTCAATGGAAAAAAAGATATGCTGGCTATTAACAATCAAATTAAATCACTATCAACAAAATTCATAGATGGATTGTGCATAAATGTTACGTTTAAATATAAAATTTTAATGTAGAAATATTAAATGATTATAAAATAATATTAAATTATTTCATTAAATGAAATAAGCTACTTTTTAAAATATGAAACTACAACCGCCGGTAGGTGACAGCAAGTGACTGTCTTAATGAGTGAGTTGAATCAACCGATTCGTTTAAAATGCTGATTCATTTAACTTTGCAAAGGACTGTAGTTATAGCCTGATTTAATAATTTGCTGGTCCGTGTAATGCTGAGAAACAAAACACTGTTGTTCGGAGACGCAGCGGTTTTGCTGTTTCTGCTGTTCTATTTTCTTTCTGACGGAGCAAAACGGAATTTTGTGTCTGAAAGTTACTCTGTAAGATGTTGTTTATTGTAACAACAATGGGTCCCCCTACAAGGCGGGGCCCATGGGCTGCAGCCCACTCAAGCCCAATTGTAAGTCCGGCCATGATTACAGCATTCAATTTTAGATTACTGTCAATGCATAATGGCTGATTAGAGGTGTATAAATAAGCCTACACCTTATCAGTAATGATAACCGGTACTAATGCGCATTTTGTTTTACTCTTTGATTTGTGTTGGCACAAAAACAATCATGTGAAACTCTGTATTCTTCATGATAACAAAATGATAAGCATTCTAATAGCACATCAACCTGAAACCTGTTGCATGTTTGACAAAACACCAGAGTGAATAAGCTCCCATTCTAACACAATGGACA